AATTGTTCACAGACAATAGTCATTCTGATACAYAAGCCGATCAACAATATATTTGCTTGATCTTGAAGTTCTGTTTTTGCAAATCTAGACTTGGACATCTGTCAATTTTTTTCTTAAAAAGTCAGAAGCTGGCCAGCACTTCTGCCTCAATGATCAGATCTGATGCATATTTRTCTGCATTACATTTCCATTTACTTTTGTTTCTGTGTGAAAGCTCCTAAAAGAGCTGTTTTTCATTTTGAATCACCTGAGGTTGTTGTAAGRCCAGCAGCAAGTTCTTCTTCATCCATCAATATCTACAAGGAAAAGTACAATATCTTTAATACCAGTTTTAAAATAGACATTGTATAATCAGTATTTAAGCTTATAATTTTGAATCCAATTTGTTTGTTTTTCTTTTGTTTGATTTTAATAAGATGTTTGTAAAGTTCAATTATTTTCCCTGCCTAACTCTTGAATTCTTTTTAAATCCAACCTCAATTATACCATGTTTAGAGACAAATTAAACTTTTAAAATTTATATTTGTACTTTTAATCTAACTTAAAAGCATCAATGTCACGATGTGTGGTGGCTGCACTTTGTGCCACAGTTAACCCCAAAGCTCGTTTAGATACATGACAGTTTTGAAGATAATGCACATATCATGGTAAATAAACCGTTTTTGTTTCGTTTTAGACATGTAAAAAAAGTACGGTAGCTTTCAGAACATGCGGTTCATTATTTAGCCAATAGCTGAAGTTACCTTTAGCCGTTTTCCCCTTTACCAACGTTCCTCTGATAGGAAGGTCTCTTGTTTGAATAGACACCACGTGATATTTTTGGGCGATTTCATTGGCTGATGGATCAATACCAGACAAAAGCCTACGCAGCAGCACAGGCAACCCAGGATAGAGTCCGTTTGACTGCCAGCAGGAGGGGTCCAAAATGGCTATCGACCAAATCCCGGGTTCAATCAGCTCGGGAACGTTCAAAAAAAAATTTTTTTTTCCTTCCTTTTTTAACTTAAATATCCTGCTTTACGATCAATGTTTTCCTTTCCGGGAAAAAAAATTGAAATTAATTAATCAAAGAGTCTCGCTRGCATTCCTCTTGAATTGAATTTTATTTACCCAATATAATATATAAACAGCGTATCCACGRCATTGACAGCGTATCCACGGCAGCTTTTTATGTTCAGTTCCAATGAGCACTTCAGTGTAATAATAAGAATTCAAGGCACAAAATAGGCACGATTTGAAGCCCACAGTGCACGATTTCGTGCCCAAACGATAGCGCGATTTCATGCGTTATTCAAAGCACGAAAAGGCGCGTTTTGAGGCTCAATTTTACGCACAAAGGCACGATTTCGAGCCCTATTCAAGGCACGATTACACGCGATTAGGCACGATCTTCCGTAAAACCTGCTCCAAAAAGATATCAAGTGGTCCGTCGGCCGAAAGGATTTTAGGGTCGACCGTCAAGATATTTTTTGTCATATTTTTGTCTTCAAACAATTCTGGCTAAAAAAAATCAAAGAAGAGCCACCCTTGATAACAAAGMTTCACTGACTTGTCAAAAAGAGCGGTGTTATGGGATGAACAATCGATTTACGGCAAAAACTAAACTCTTTTCTGAACGAGAATCAGCGAGAATCGCGTGTACACCAACATCGTGCGCAGGGCCAGTGAGCTTTCTTCAGAGTTATATTTAAATATTTTGGGGGCTTGCTGCCTACACTTATTACACCAACTGGTAACCAGGAAACTTTTCACCTTGCTGGTCAAGTAATTTTTTATAGATTTCAGGTATTGGATATGTATGTAGAGTTTTTGAATGCCCCCATGTTGATGGACAGGAACATCTGTTGTTTGAGCGTCTTATCTGGTCAAAGTGGTATTGACACAGGTATTTCCCAGCTGGTACACCACAACGTTCTGTTACACTGGTGCTAGGTTTTAACCTGCCCCTACAAAGCTGACTAGACTGCCTTGTTGTAGCCGAAAAGCACAACATTTTCGTTTTTGCAAAAAACTAAGGCCTAAATCTAAGGAATTTGTCAGCTGATGACGAATATTTTATTACTTTTTTTGTAAATTGATTTCCATGCTTTCATTCATACTTGGTGCAGCAATAGTCTTTTTGGTGCAATACATATGTTGTGAGAAATTTATCTCGCAATGATATAATATAGTCTTAAACTCCAACTTTTGAGTGTGAAATCCAACTTTGTGTTTTTGTCGACCCCCTTCACACTTTCGCGGTCTTATTGTGATCGAGATGCCTCAAGCAAATTGTCATTTTTTTGTGAAATATACCAAATCTTCATCTTTTGACCAAAATCCTTTGCAATCGAAGTTCAAAGTGGAAGTGATGTCACTGACTTAACCCACGAACGAGGCTACACTCACATGGCTTATAAAATGTATACAAACATAGCGACATTCCTACAACAACGTAGATTTTTAGATATAAAAAAAACTGATTTATAACGCTCGCCAATAGCTGTATTGTATAGGTCTAAAGCAACGTCTCCGCGCTAGGAATTTCTATTCATAAATCCCCAATCAATAAAAAAATAGGTGAAAGATGTACTGTCAGACAATAAAATTGAGTTTAATGTTAACACAGATATCTCCAGTATCAAAATGTGCACATGTCAGAGGCATGAAAAGGAAAAAAAAACTTGTAAAACAGCTGAAAACAACAACAATGGCTAGAAACATTTTTATGCATATAAACAATCAAGCCGCCAATGGCAACACAACTCGAAGATTAATTGTGTAGACGAATAAAGAACGATACGATGAATCGAATGATAATTACTTGACAAATACAATTCTGAGTATCTGATTTATGAATATAGTTTTTTTTTCGTTATACAGCTGTTTGCAATAATTCTGACCCCCTCTGCCATATTTCATATATATCAAACTGAGCTTTAATGTTATGGGATATCATGACTGATATATTTTTTGAGTAGTCCAGAATGAGTACTTTCTCAAAAAAATATCAGCAATGGTATCCCATAATTTCTAAGGCTACTTTGATATATATGAATATTAGTGTAGGGGGGTCAGAATTATTGCAAACAGCTGTATCTGATTAAAAATCAACAAATCAACATCCGTCGACAATGAATTAATTTAACTTCGGTTCTGGATAGCGCTGGCGATCGATATAGTGATATAAATCCCATTCAGCATCCAAAACTATGTAAAATCACCCGCAAGTGTCAAAAWRCAATAATAACAATCCCHATGAAACACAACTTCGCCCRCAATSAACAATCGATATCTCGTGAGTTCAATTAAAGCAAACAAAAGAAACTTCAAAGAGTTTGTAAGCTTAAACGTAGCAATGATTGAAAATGTCAGAAATATGTTTCATTGAAAGTCTTGGTTTTGTGTCAAACAAGAAATTTGTTAAAAAAAACAAGTTAACATGTACTATGAAACAGTCAAATAGTCAAAACGGACAATTTCTTAAAATATTTGAGTCTGTCTGAGAGAAATTTGTGTTTTTGGTACATTTTTGCTATATCATAAGTGTGGTCATTTTAGTAATCAACCTAGGTAACAAAGAAAATGTCAAAGCAAGTACGCAAAGAAATTTTGCATAAGTATCTATAGACAACAGATGTTTTGCCGATTATCATATTCTTTCAAAAGCACATGTTTTATATTTAATTCAGAAGTGTTTGGACGTCGATGTATAAAGGAGTACAAGGAAGACTACAGTCTCTTTGATTGCGAGCTGCGTAGAGCTGGAAAATGTTACGACAGAGTCTTCATTGTTTCATTTCAATATTAACTTGGGTTCTCGATAAGCACAGGCCATCACCTTCGTACAATCATTTTCGAAACGAATTGGAGGATCGTCCAGTCTTCTTTGCTTGCTTTTCGACCTTTGTGACTTTGTGACGGTATGTCGAATCAAATTATAATTATTTTTCAAATAGAATTGTACATGATTTTATGAATACAGTTTTCTTTTTCGTTACAATCTARTTRTTWTTAACTTTGATTTTTGACAACCAGGAACGAGCACCTGCAGTTTGAAAGACAAGTCTAACCGCGTGGCCGCATGGAAGCCATGTCTTCGATTTCCAAAGGCCCGTTTACACTTGCAATTTTTGCAGCGCGATTGTCGCGCGACAATCACCACTTTGCTCTCGCGCACCTGAAATCGTACGTGTAAACAGCCCTGCGATTAGAGAGGTTTAGCATGATGTTCACGGCAAACGTCAGAAAAGATCACGTGACCTGCTTTTTTAGAGTTTTTAAAACGTTGCAGTTTCAACGCGAGAGTGGGTTATTTTGAGTTTGCCATAATCGTGAAAGGCCGTTCTTTCCAATAACTACCAAAAGCATACGACCAGGCACAAAATTCTTAAGTACATTCGGTTCAGTTCTGCCGTTAGCCGTTTGCCGTTAACGTGATGCTTAAACTCTCTATTGTCGCGGCGATGCCGCTAAATTTCAAGCATGTTCGAATCTATAGCCGATTGCGCGCGACAATCGGGCTGCAAAATTTGCAAGTGTAAACGGGCCTTAAAGCCCCGTCTACACAAGCAATTTTTATGTGACAACTATATGTGACAATTTTTTTCCGTGTGGGCATGCAGCAAATAATTGTTCAAGACTCGCGCCAACTGTGATTTTGCACAGCGGATATGTCAATAAACAAAACAAATTTAAATACTATAGTTTCGTAAGAGTACTAGAGATAATAAAACTTTAAAAAATACGATATATTTTTTAATCTTAACACTGTTTCAGCATTACATTATGCCATCCTCAGAAGAATGAGGATGAGAATGAGCAATTAAAAATTGTCACATAAAAATTGTTCGTGTATATGGGACTTAATTCAGAGGTCTGAAGTCGGCAAGACTCAGAGGAACTGACATTTCTTTAATTAGATTTCTTTCTTTGTAAAAAATAAAATAAATAAAAATAAATAAATTCAACCAAAACTAGATCAGGGGACCCGGTAACTGTAGCTTAATGAGTAAATTNTGGCAAAATAGTATCGTTTAATGTTGTCCAAGTAACAGAAGTGTCCTCTTCAAATGCTATGGAAAAAGAGGGTTTTGTGAGGTGTCTAGACAGCTTGGAGGATGACGACATTGAAGTATCAATGATAACAACCGACCGACATACTGGAATTACAAGTACCATGCAAAAGGACTACAGCCACATAGTCCACCAGTATGATGTTTGGCATCTGTCAAAGTCCATTATAAAAAAGCTTAACAAGAAAGCCAAGCTAAAAAAGAATGAAGACCTGTGTCACTGGATTCAATCAATTTCAAATCATCTTTGGTGGTGCGCAGCGACTTGCAACGGTGATGTGGTTTTGCTCAGAGAAAAATGGAAATCAATTGTTCACCACATACAAAACAAGCACTCCTGGAGAGATGCCACTGTCTTCAAGCGCTGTGCACACCCCCGACTTACTCGTAGAGAGGTACGGCAGAAATGTTGGCTCAAGCCAGGAACATCAGCATATGTCGCATTTGAGGAAGTAGTACTTGCTCCCAAGCTTTTGAATGATCTGGCTAAACTGACAAAATTTTCACACACTGGTGGTTTGGAGGTCTATCATTCATTGCTATTGAAGTACTGCCCAAAACGTCAACATTTCTCATATAAAGGAATGGTGGCCCGAACACAACTGGCTGCCTTGGACAATAATAACAACACAGGTAAACAATTGTTCATGCTATTAACCAAAAATATGTCATTCATGTATAAATGATTTATTAATGAAAATTACATTTTTCTAAAAGGGTGTAATCAAAATTTGCAGTACATTCTTCCAATAAAACAGTTTTCTAAATCAAGTTAAAAAAATATGTTTAAAAAATCTTTGATGCAACTAAAGAAATTGTTTTGAACAGTTATTTACATGCAGATATAACATGAAGATACTCTACTAGTAATAAGTAATAAAAAGCACAAATGTATACAATTTCAGGACGTCAACAAGCAGTGATCCAAGAGGGAGAGAGGCAGGGCAAGGCACGGTATCGCCAATGCTTTCCAAAAATGCAAAAAAGGTGGACCAGGAAGAAAGTATTTGAGAAGAAAAAATACAACTTCCTAGCGGAGTTACAAAAGAATGTCCTTGGAATGTGTACTGGCATAGGAAACATCCCCGACCCTGTTCCAGAGGTTGAGTTACCAGCTAACATTGCAACTATACCTGCCCCAAACAAACAGGATTTAATTGACAAACATAGATCTAGATTTAACCCTTTTACCGTCATGCGGACGAATTCGTCCACTCTACAAAGGTCACTCTAAAAAAAATCGCCACAAAAATGTTACTAACGATGTTTTGATTGTGTTGTCTGCTAAATTCCACGGCTGCTAACCGCAAAACCAAGCTTTCTAGGTGTTTTTTGTAGAGAACATAGTCATTCCAATTAGGGCGAAATCTGAGGTACACCCTTTTTCACGTAAGACCACAACACTGGAAAAAGCCTGCATTTCTTTTCAATTTTATTGCACAAAATACTGCATTCTTGACAAAATGCAACATCAGAAGCAATATTTGGTCCTTCCACTTTGCAACAATTTCTCTTTTGTATCCACTTTCTTTGAGCAAGCCGAGAATCAGCTCTTTATTTAGGGTAAACTCCATGAGCCAAGTGTTTCTTTGATCTTCACTCGCGAAGAATTGTTGGTAACAGTGTATTTTTTCAACAGGAAGTGCCCCACACTATCCATTGAAAGTATTTTTTTTTAAGTGTCGAGTCATTCGGTCCTACCAGGAAAATTTCAAGCCCTTGTATCGAAATCAACGATTGATCGCCACTGTATTCGTGAAATCGCTTCCCACTTCTGATTTCTTCCAGAAGATTGCCTCAGCTACCTCTCCAAGCTTCATGATGCAAGTCTAGGAGTTATTGTGCGAGAACTTGACTAAAAAAAACTATTTTTCCTGTGTTTTGACCGAGCTGATCTCTAGCCAAAGACACGAGCAAAAATCTAGCAGGCCCTTAAAAATGTGAACCTACAGTTATAATAATCAGCGGCAGTTTTCTTGACAACATTTAAATTAGAACCCAAATCATTTTTTGGATTTTTTTTGCCTTAAATAGAGTCAAAAGCTCCCAGGAACCCGCCAATAAAAGGGTTAATAGATAATGCTATACTGATAGTTAAACAATATTTTGAAATAGCCAATGAAATAGTTAAGCAATAATAACCAGACTATCCATTAGTGCTTGTGTCAATAAAATGCTATAGCAAAGCCTTCTTTTAAAAAGATTGTGCTTTTTAGCAGGACATGAATAACATAAAATATGTAAACATGAAAATAAGTGTAAATATTTCCTTTAGTATGAGCAARGTCATACATATTTTTTCCAAAGTAAACAGTTATACAAAATAGTAGATGTTTCCTTCTTGGTTTRGTGAACAGGACATTTTTMTTTAMATGAATACTCAGACTTATGATGTCTRTTCATCTKCATASTGAAATCCCTCATAAATGAAGTYTTCCTCTAGACCTGGTGGAGGAAAATGTTGTCTTATACACAWAACTGCACAAGAASGGAGGACAACTCTGATTTCTTTCCCCAGGATTCCCCAGCACCACCTTGCCAGTTGTTGATATGTCTAAATTTCTTGTGCTCTGGACCTTCATGGGACTCCTGGTATTGCTGTTTATACTGCAACCATGCAGTCTGTAGGACATATTTATTAGTGCAAACAGGCAAAAATCCTGGATGTCGAGTTATACAGGTAGGGGGGCTCGCTGCTTCTCCATCTGCTATAACTTCCTGGCATTTATTGAAGATTTTTTGTATTTCTTGACAGCAAATACATTCTTCGCTTCTGTCCATTACTTGGCAATTACCACCACACTCGCACCTGGATAAAATACATTGGCCTTTTTTAATTTCTTATAGCAGAATTTAGGAATAAAAAGCGTATCGAGCATTTATTTATGAATGTGTGAGGCTCACATGAAGCTCACATGAAAGTTTTAGATTAAGCTTCATTTGATTGAGCCTGATTTGTCTATTTAGGATTTACACTTCCATAATATGCGGTGTCTGACACAAGCAGACCGCAGACTGCAGACCGTACTTTATTTGTATATATGTATCTATCATGATTTACTTCAATACAATGATTTACTTTAATACAATGGAGTTTAAAATTAATATTTTGTCGTCGATCGACCTAATTAACACATAGTTATAGATTACAATAATCTGACYCTTCATATATACTATAGTAMAGTCAGTTCAGCTTTCCTCTAGAAATGAAAGTACATATAATATCATATGATAGACTGTGTTATAGAAATTTTTCAATATTCAAAATACGAAGTGTTTTAAGTATGGATCCTGACAGAGTGTCACGAAAAACTATATGTCCGGGAGTCAAAATAATTCACAAAAATCACAGTAGATATGTAAATCCAGTCTAAGCAAAGATACGTTACTGTGTTTAGGTGTAAATATTTTTCCTTTTGACAATTTGATGACAATTTAAAGCGGATTTAAAGCCTCTTCGCCGCTCGGCATTGTATGCAATCGACTTCGCACTTCGGTTTWTCACATCTCTGGACCGACTCCCGGACAGAATTGCCATGAACAACTATTATATGTCCGGTAATCAAAACTATTTACCGAAATCATTTATGATATTTTATTATCAAAAGTTTGTGAAGGTAAATCTTAAGAAGACAAATGATAAGTGAGTCAATCAGTAAATAGAAAAACCGTAATAGACACTTTTAGAGCGTGAAATCGGGCTAGCTATTTTKATTAAACCATGATCGTTTCAATCTTCATCTAGGAATATCCAGAAGTGACAGAATCCCTTGTCAAATTGGAAAATTTTATGCAAGTCAAAATCAGACACGTACGTTGAGACTTCACTCACTAAGTATGAAATGTCGGTTTATATCATCTCGCCAAGGAAAATGAACTATATGCTCTTACACAGATGAATGTTTTGGAATAACACAAGGAATCGCTACAATACCTCCCGCGGGCAGTTAACTATACTATATGTGAAAAGATTGTTTACAGTAGTTCGTATAAAACGTGCTGCATTTTATACAAAATGTACTGCATTTTATACCTCATGCCCCGGCCAAGGTCCGAGTAACGTAACAAACAAATAAACAACAATAATTCATGTTCAGCATGTTTGGTCATACAATGTAATACTGGAAAATAGTCATAAAAAATACATGAATGATAGTGGTTCATTCTGTATATTTCCAAGTCAGGAGCACAAAAGTCCTGTACAAGTTCATGGGGTGCATTCAATAAATCCGTTAAAAAGTTTGMTTACTAAATTTGTCAATTTGTGACGAACTATTATGAATGTAAAGAAGGAAAAACGATACTGAGTAAACCGAATTACACCATATCMAGGCTAATGCCTCTGTAGGCACAAGCCAAAAAAATCAAAATAATTGTTTTCTTGTTATATGTTAGAATGCAATCAAAACTACACAGTGCATCCAATTGAGTTTTGAACAGTGCACGATGACATTAGGGAATATTCACATCACGTGCATTTTTGATGAAGTTCWTGTGCACATCATTCAAACGTACTTGATCTTGTACTGTCACTTCAACGTCTTGYGAGGGCACAAAATCGGCATTCTTTGTAAGAACACATACCAAATTAACATGGTAATGCGTTCTTTCAGGCTTGGTTGTCACCCGCAAGGAACCAGAGTTTTTGTCGTACCAGCTCCTGAATTCAAAAGTAGTGAGSACGACATCGTATGGCGCAGGAGGTACACCTGAAGAGTTTGGACGAAACTTACCGCCGCAACCATAGCATGTCTGTGCTTTACAGTCAGACAACCACCGGAAGTAGAATGTTCCCTCGTCGGAAGAACTCTGTGGTCGTCTGTCTGTAAAATCATTGTTCTCGTTCTTTTTTTGCGGCATCGCAGGGTTTTCGATACCTGTTTTGATTTTTTTGGCATGGTTTTTTTCCTGTATTCTTTGGTGCATTCAAGGATGCTGCTTTTGTTATGTTTGGCCCGCCATTGTTATGGAAATGAACTAGAAATTCGTCCAGCTTTTCTGTCAAGTCGGCAACGGCTAATAAGTGTGAACACACTGATGCAGTTTGAAAACCCTTACAAGGGCATTTGCATGCTCCTCCCTTTCCCATGGTTACAAAATATGGATGACATTCCGTTTCACTTGCAACCATGAAGCCACTATGGTGACCTGGAGCTGCTACAATACTTTTGGCATTATTTCGAAGTTTCGCAGCCTTGTTGTAAGATTGTCTAAATACAGCGGAAAGCCCTGTTTCTTGGAAGGGAACAGTCAGTRCAAGGCCAATAGCAGTCTGGATTTCCCCCGCACTTGATGTGGAAGTGCATGTTCTAGTTGCCGTCRAATTAGCTCATTTCCTAATTACTTTTAATTTACTTACTAATTTCAGTTGATTGGTTATTAGATACGTTCTCAAAACTAATCCGTCATGTAAATATTAAAAAATTCCTTCAAAAAATCCTGGATCCGCCCATGTACTACTAATAATATATTTGCTTGTTGAGTTGTTTTCATTTTCAATTTGTCCCCTTTTTTCACCATTTTTGGTAAGTCATCCGATCCGTGGGGTGTTCGAAGACTATCTTCAAAACGTGACACATATTAAGATCGGCCTTAAGATCTCATTGATAACAGGGAGTTAAACCGCTAGTAACCAGAAGGGTTGATCAAACAATATTCTCTTAGTATTTTGCGTACTATGCGGTATAGTTCAGTGTTCAATATTTGCTTTTATTCAAGAAAAAAAAAAAAAAAACGCGTATGCAATGCGTACACTTATTTGCCTACGATAATATCATGCAGTATCGTTAGGGCTTCCTGTTCTTTTGTTTTTCATTTGAAAGGTGAACTGAAATCGTCCTAGCCACAATAAATATTTAATAAATAGAAATTTGAAAGCTTTTAACTATTGTGGTCTGTTAATATCAATATGAGGTCGATCAGATTACCTGTCTCGTCCTTTCGCGTGTCCGCACGACGTTTACGAGATGCCACAGGTACACTATAAGTAGGTAAATAGATGAATACAATTGCTATCAGAGGACCAATACTATTTCTCAAATGTATCATATTCCTGGCAGTACCTTGATACTGTAGTCTCTTCCTCCTCAGAATCGGAAATGATGATCAGTCCTAATACAAAACCACGAAGCAAGCATGTCAAATACCTTAACCTTGTAGGAATGTAGAGTTTTAACCTTTGAACAGATAGTACTCACCTTTCGACGTATGTTGCCATTTGAAGTTAGTTATTTT